CGACATTCATTTGTGACATAATATTAAAGTTATCCCATAACGTAGACTCACCTTCTAACCATCGATTCAGCGAAGCATTCTGACCAGCCTTGCATTTTTGTTTCAGTTCCATCGGTTCCTTGAACTCTACTCAAATGTATTCGTCGTCTCAGGAGTGTTTTTCAATAGACTAATTGTGTCTTCACTTTGTTCACTTCTTCCAAGTTTAGATTTCTGGTTGTAGTCGTTAGAACCTTACACAATGGGCATTATATATCTTATCAATTGCTATAGCAAGACTTCAGTTTGACGAGAATATGTTCAAATGCAACTTTCGGTCATGTCGTTCCCATGGACTGGGAAAACTATACATACAGAAACTGTTACTTGATTTTGGAAAAGGTCACTCAGCGTAACAAGTGTTTCCAACCGTTAGCTGTCTTTTCTTACTAACTGAGGCTGGAAATATTTGAATGTGAACTAGTGCCTTATAAGTTGCTAGGTAGTCGGAGTTAGTTGGGTCATCTGGTGGTATCTTCGTTTTCCAATCGCCACTTTCTCACTAAATCACCTAAGGTATGAGAATATTTTCCGATCATAATTTTATCCACTAACTTGTAATGCTAACTACCCAGTTGAATACTAAACTTTAAATTAGTGAAAATACCCATCAGCGAAAGTATCTTTTCAGGCATTTCATTCTCCATAGCTGTTCAATCTCAACTTTTGTTTAACTGTTTTTGGATAGCTACAAGAAACATTTAATTCAACCTAGTAACAAGGACTATGTTGAATGTAGATGAAAACTCACAATTTTGATTCAAGATAATAATTAGTCACAAAAGGGGATACAAGCCAACATAATTAACCAGATATATCATAAAATATAAAATTGCGAATAATAAGAGACAGATGGAGATAGATCAATTGTAAGTAATTCAATGAAGTCCAAACTAGCAAAAACCGTTGAACAAGACTCTTTTACACACATAACAAAGAGCTTCTGTGGTACAGAGAAAGCTGTATCGTATCATTTCTGACAAATTCCTCTTCATTCTGTAAATGACTTTGAACTCTAAGTCAGTTGTGATGAAGTGACCAGTGTTGTTTAGGTGTTCAGCTATTGCACTTCTGATGGATCCGATTGCATCTCTTTGCAACCAGATGGGGTAATGTCCTCTATCCCGTTTGAAAAGAATTAGCATCAAACGACATGTATACCTGACTCTATAGGAGCAGGTGAGTTGACAAGTCCATATAGAAGCGATCACATGAGCAAGTTCATCCTTTGGGTTACCGAAAGATTAATTTCTATCTCCCATCAAAATATTTGTTACTTGGCTTAATTGTGATTGTACAGCTACGGAGAATGAAACAGTATCTTTGCTGAATACTAAACTGTTGCTTTCTTAATAATCAACTTTACCAAACCACCGACTGAAGAATATGATGGATAAAAGCTGATATAACGCTAGTGGTTTTCGTTTTGTTTATTTCTGATATGTCATCTGTATGGCTTACAGACCACTGTGCTTGCCACTAAGTTAAACGAAACACTAGTACTAAGTGAATCCAATTGTTGCCTATTGTTTCATTCATGATTTCTTACCCTTTGTAGTGCTGACATTAAAAGCGCTGCCTAAGAAAGCTTGTTTTGACGTTCATCTCAAAATTATTAAGATATTCTTGAAGCATTTTGAATGTTTAAGGTTTTAGATATTGGTTATTTCTGAGATGACCGAATTTGTCATCAAATAACCATACTCATAAAATCTGTTTCGATAACTTTATTCTATTTCTACTTCCCTTGAAAATGTTTAATCACATTGGATGCACTAGAAACAAAACATCAACTTCAATCAAGTAAGTTATAGTAACATGTGCTTTTGTTACCTATTCACGCTAGTTGTTGACTGAAGCACTTCTGCGTCAACTTTTATTCCTGTTCAGTCTCCTCTGTGACTAGACGTCTAATTAGAGGATAAAACACTTAGCTCATAATGAAAAATATCATATGTGACACTCTACTGACCAGATACTTTGTCAACTTACCTTGCTTATGTCCATGCTCATAAAACAGTGGTGGTAAACATACAACAATCATATAAGTTTATGAGTTTATACCGTATTCGCATGTTACATATATATATTAGACATTGAAACGGTACTGTCTACTGTACAAGGCTACGGGTACAACCTCGGGCAGATGATGAACTAATATTTGGATGTAGGCTTCATAATGCTGGAATCATTTTTATCGCTTCAGAGTAAGAGTAATAGAATGATTCAGGTATCTGAAATGTGTACAGATTCATGACTTGTAAAAATGCATGGTGTTGATTCAATAAAAACGCTTCGGTTTGAAGGATGGTTAAAAATCAGCTGCATACAACTGAAAACAGCAATGGTTAACACAGCAAGTCATATAATCACACAACTTAACTACATAATGCTGAGAGACAACATATGGGATATTTTTAAAAACTAAGGCATACTAAGTATTGAGATGGTTAAAGTCACTTTAGCTATCTGAAATAACCGTGAGTTGGGAGACAAGTATTGGTAGTGAGTGATGATTCAAGTTGAAATGAAAATTTCGACCACGGTGGGTTCCGAAGCAGCGACCAAACACTGGACTCAAGAATCAATACAAAATCCAGTGTAATTATGGTGGTGGTAGTTCTAGTAACCAGTACAAAAATCTGTGATTCGATATACATATTCTAATAATAGTTCTGTATAGTAGTTTTGAGCATTTATATCCCCATTTTCATCTGGCTTAACGTTTTTTCTTTGTTTCACACTTATCTTGAGAAACCACAGTTTGAAAACATTTTAAAAGTATATGAGAGTAAACGATACATTTGGAAGACTTATTTAAAAGACTAAAACAAGCTGAAAGGGAAGTATTTGGTGAGAAGTATTTCATCAGGAACAAATATTTGATAGCCTAAGTTTTAAGCAAGTCACTTAGAAATGTAGCGAAGGAAATACCTGACTCTAAGGGACTGGGTAACACAAGGAGACGGCGATCATAAAACAGAAATGGATTCTGTGGGTTTAAATTAGCAGATCATTGAAATACGGACTTTTTGTAATTAGGATGAAATAGGATCCATGAACTCTCACAATGGGCGAGAGACTTATACAACTTTTCTCCTGTGTACATAGGTTCAGTTGAGTATTTTACCTCAGTGAAGCATATGGGTTTAGGTATTTTCTGCACGTTTAGCACACTGAAGACACTGTCCGCATCTGCTCAATTTCTTGCATCTACAGTACATCGGATAAATGTGCGTTTTTAAAAATAGTTTTGAAGCACTTCAGGAGCTATGCCCAAAGTAAACGAAAATATAATTCTGCTTGAATAAGCTTTTCAGTTTCAGGTTGCCTGCAGCTGAAGAAGCTTTGTGCAACAAAATGACACAATTTTTCAGTAAAATGTATTCCTCACCCTGTGAATGGAGTCAATTGCATGAATAGCTTAGGTTATCGATCCCATCCTTTGACGTGCTATGCTTCGAAGTGAAACTTACTTTCCAATACATTCAATCGTGTGATTGTACTCATTACAGTTACTGAATTTTCCCTTAGATATCTTAGTTCACTAGGCTTACAACTTTGATTCAACTGGATTTCTGCCAGACACAGCTTAAATGATCTCAACCAACCACTCTGAACCCTATATGCAGGCTTAGAAACGTGAAATCTGCAGGAATAAAATGGTCTATCTCACAAGCTTTATGAGATTCTTTGGCCTACAGGCTTAAATGTTGCTATAATCTCAGTCTCGTTAAGAAACTTGCATGCAGTTTTGAGAGTCTTTTCTTGTATAGTAACACTATGAAGATTTGTAATTTCGGCCTCCTGAAGCCATCATTATCATGCATAATAATGAAATTCGGGTCATATCTAAGAATCAGTCTTTTCTTACAACTCCTCGATGCACTTCTAAATCAATTTACTGAAGGATATGTTGAGTAATAAGAATGATTCAACAATTCTTAGTTGGCATCATAGATTTTCTAGCCTGCTGGTCACCATTTCTATTTTACCACCTAAACCTTTCAAGAAGCATACTCTTACTTTCATAAAATCCACACCTTATGGTATTTTAAAAAATTACCTCCAGTTCCATTGTGCTGACTTTCCGTGAGCACTGGTGTCAAAGACCTATTTCATGAGGAAACTCAGAATGCCTGTCCTACCTCCTGTGGTTTACGCTGTGACGCTTCATACGATCGATGTGGCATTTAGACTTTCTTGGTGATTTAAACGCCCTTACAACTGATGAGTTTTAAATAGTTAAACCCAGTACCCTGGATTTCAGAGTTAACTACTAAGAAAAAGAGAAGGTAACTCACTGCAAATTCAGTAAGTGAAATGATTCCAACAGAAAAGTTAACTAGCCAAAAAGTTATTGAAACAACCAATGAAAACTTTAATAACAACTTATAAAATTACTCCGTGTCTTACGAGGAAAGCAGCTCACAACTACTAATCATATGACTACTCGTTTCACTGTTAACAACACTAGTCTCACAAATATTACATACATTACTACTTTTATTAATGCAAATAATTGGTATCTGTGCAGATAGATTTACAAGATATGTGTAATTAAATGAATTGTTGCAGTTAACACTTCATATGTGCACATCACCATAGTAATAATAGTGATAAGAGCAATCAATTACACTATATTCAATTTTAAATCCTACACAAAAATGTTTGTATTTCTCTTCAGTATCATAATGTAGAAGATTTTGCTAACGTCAGTCTTACTGTAGCTAAAAGTGGTCTCAAATGTGCATATATTCCTATAAATATTGACTACTTGCTCATCGGCAAATATATATACATATGGATAGGCACTTTTATAGGCATTTATAGTATCTCAGAGTTCAGTAGATAGCTGGTTAACAACTGGTATTTTCAAGACTATTTTATTAGCCACATTCAGTGGAACTTATCAAGTATTATTTATACTTGAGCTCAAGTGAAAGTGAATTGTTTCATAAATGCCACTATTTAAGCTTATTCTGGAAAAATCTTATGGTAATCAAAGATGTGAGGATATTTATCGTTGGCCAGTAAAAGAAAGCCTTGAAAGCATAACATATGAGGATCTTTGTAACAAGATTCAACAAATTCTGTCATCAAAGAATAACTTTAATGATGCGATAAATACATGTGACTACCTGGTAACCTGGTATGGTGAGTTGTACTTTTTATTCATTGGTCGGCTGAATTTATTACCTGAGGTATATTAAAGGCTTTATTTATCCATTTATTATGTACCAGGTGGACTGAAACCACACACCAGCTAACTTTGATATCAGCTCCTATGTAGCTAGTTACATAGACCGTTCTCAAAGGGCTGTATCCACCGGCAGTAGTGAACATGTATCCGCTTGGTAAGGGAAATGAATGACAAAGAGCATCAACGGTGTAGTCCTCTCATATCTAGCAGATATGGGACGTCAGATCAAGGTAGATCACTTCTTTTCTGTGATATACCGTGTCCCTTGCAGTCTATCTAATGGTGTAAGTCTACGCATCTTGTCCATAATCGAAGATGTATGTGTCAACACAAGAAAACTGGACATATGTGTTCTAAAGAAATGTGTACGTCCACTTTGTTATCCATTGCCCGCAATTGGGTCGACACGTTCTTTATGAATTCTTCTACCATAAATTGCACATTTGAATCTCCCACCACTCTCATCTACATTATCATCACATTGATAAACATTTGGTATGTCATTTATTATTGTTCATCTGAGTGCTTTATGTGGGATGAGGTCATTTTGAAATGTGTTCCATAATGAACTGACCTTGAGATATACTTTTGATGCATTGAGCTGTCACCCTAATGAAAGATAAAAATATCGTAAAGTTAGAAATCATGAACTTCAGCAGAAAATGAACACGTTATCATTAGTGGGGAGGTGACGGAATAAATCTACAATCAGTGTATCACTTTGATTGTGTAGTAGATGTCACACATTCCATATACCGTTTACGGGAAAGATTTCCATGAAGTGGCATTTTCGGTCACCAGGATGCATAAACGCCATTGATGGAACTACTGTTGTTTTTGCACAGTTGTACAATAAGCAACAGCCCAGACACTAATGATGAAAGAATGTACATGTCAATTAAACAACTGATGTTACTACTTTTCAAGCGACAATATACTGCCATGCAACAAATTCTTTTCATTTCAACTGGTAATGATGAAAACGATGGCTACCACTTGACCACTGATGATTGACTATTCATTAACTTTCTGCACATATGGTTGAATTGCATCGTATCAGTTGGATAATTGTGATGTTAGCATTTCACATTTTGATAACCAAGTGCGGTAAGTAGAATGCATCTGATAACTTGAGTCTGTTTAGGTCAGAATATGCTATGAATAGTTGTTGAATGACTTGATTACGTAATGCGCAGTTTTAGAACGGTTCATTTCAGGAGTCGGGATGATGCTAAGATAGATAACAAGTGCATTCCATCTAGTTTGACTAATGTCAAAAAACATTAGATCTGAATAATGTGTACTACCAAGTAATACAGCAACTTATAGCTATTATTCTTACATCCTATTAAAGTCCTTATGCAGCTTTACAACTCAGTCAGCTGATAATTTGTATCATTTAAGTAAAGAATGCTATGAACAGTAACGTGAACTACTTGCAAAGTTTCTCCACAATAATGTGTCCTAAAAGTCACCCTTTCGATATACACTTTTTAAGAAGTGCATGTCTATGGCTTGATTTCGGAGTGAGGAAGATAAAGGAATTTTATTTTTATGGATAGCTGGTGTACTCAACGACTTTGGCATATAGCTCTTAGAATGGTAATAACATGCCTTCTTCAGCAGAAGTAGAGAGATGAGGTTCACTTATGAACTTATCCTTCATATTCATAATTTGTCACCAGAATAATAATTATCGATACTTCAAAAACACAGACTATTTAAATGACCTACTTCTAAAAACGCAACTTCAAACTAGGTTATATATTCCTGTTTATTGTCGAATAATTTAAACTTTTTCTGACAACTACATATTCGAATAGGGTTGAAATATTACGTGAAACTAAGATACGAGCCCTAGCCATGATAAAACCATATACTTTTTGCTTAAGGACTCAGATACTTTAGGCACTGTGGTTTCGCATGCAGAATGTGGAGAATAAACTTTAGATCAGTTATCACTTTTCAATACTTCACATGTGGTAACAGTTTGAAAGTGTTTATAATCTGGATACAACCAGAAGACGAAATGATAAGACGTTCATATCAAAACCTGAAGTCATTGATATTAACTGTTAGTGGAAACAATCTCTTCGACATTTCTAAGTTCAGTAAAAGTAATGGTTCACTATCTGACATATCCGAGGATCAAACTGATTTAACAGGTAAATCTTTTTGTTAGAAAGAATAAGCAACAAGGAACTCTGGCCTGACAACGAACTAACGAAGCAAGAAGCTATCACTCAACAAATATGCACTGGAAGGAAGTGGAGATGGGTTGGGCATGCACTGAGAAGGCCAACTGAGGACATCACGCACCAGGCCAGTTGCTCGAGTGGAACTCAGATGGGAAACAACGAGTTGGGCTTGGGAGGTGAGGGTGACATGGAGGAGAATGTGCGAGGAAGAAATGAGAGCTACTGGTCTGTCTTGTAGGCAGGTTCAAAGGTTTGCAGAGAACAGAGTGCACTGGAGACGTGTTACTGAAGCCCTATGATCCACTGGGAACTCAAGGAACAGAAAATAAATAATAACAATAGTCTTAAGCTTGTCAATCAAAGAAGTGAAATAGATGCGTAAAATGCTTAATTGTACTTCAGAATTCATTGTATTCATTGATTGTATAGGATATGAAAAAACCTATAACATACTTAAAATAATTATAAATAACCAACCCCAAGGTCATGATTAAGGAACTTACTAGGGAAGAGTATGCAGAAAAGAGTTAGGAATGTGTACATTGCCTGAACAGTTTAAAAACCAGTATTGTTAGACTAGATAATGAACATACTTTACTTTACATCTCTAATTCACTGTAAACTCTAGGTACAGTATTCTTGAAATGAAATTCTTCAAAATCTAGTTCTTTTCATCACAGTGTGACTTCACAAACCTGCTCCAGTTTACAGTGAATCTTATGACAGATATCACATTGTGATTAGTGAACTGAGTAGTATGTGATAGTGCAAGTATCGTTAATGTCGAATACGTGAGACTTCTAGATTGACATTCAGTTATCATATATATCAACAGTATACTAAGATATTTCTGCTATTGATCGGCTTACAACATGGTTATTTGGATCTAATGCCTCAGATATCTCAGGATCCTACAAAACAAATCAGAAATAGAAAGTACTTTTTTCTCACTATTTTTCCGTTCTACGGTTAAAATGCACTTGAATTTGAACAGAAATTTTGATTAACACTAACACAAATAGAGCCATGTTTGAATGAAGTGATTTCACCTGAATACAATACTTCACAAGTGATTATTTCGAACTTTGTCTCTCAGCCCTGTCATCATCTTCATTCATCCATGTAAAATAATCTTATGCATAGGTATGATTCTTTAAATGGTTTCAGAATTCTTTTTTCTACTTCCTACTGGATATTTTGAGTGTCAGTTCTTAGAATCTAAGCAATATAGGCATTTTCTTCTAGAGCTGTTCATATGTTATTCAACTTATGAAGTAGATGATTATGTAATTTTGTTAGCTGTCAAGAAGACGATACATGCAACTCAAAAGTTACTGTTTAGTAGCTCATTGGGGAAGTTTCGCCATTAAACGTGATAGAATGGGAGATAAATAATCTTGAAATGAGTGGGGATTTTAATTTAGAGGTAGTATTCATCAGGGACTGATATCAGTCGGGGAACTTTGAAAACATGACATGTTTCCAGATGGATATCAGGAAGCTCAAGTGAGAAGCCGTGACCTGTGGGATCAGTTGGTCAGAAGGAAAGCCGATGCCAACTGAAGACCTTGGGTTATATTCGCGCTATATCTTGAACTGACAGAAGTTGGAAACTGTGAGCCACTGAACTCCAACCCAGTGAGTGGATGATTTACGTGGTCGCCATGAGACTTGAGTTCCATCCCCGGGGGGTAGGGTCGTGGGTGGATACTCCTGGGGAGTCCCAAACTAGGAAGAAATAGATGTCCAGTGCCCCAGGTTTTCATTGGATCGTCATCTGATGTCATTCCATGATAAATGATCTTGAAGTTATCAGTGAAGCTATTTTAAATAATTATTTTAGTTAGGCCGACATGTGTGCTTACAAAGTAGCGATCAGAAGTGGCAACAGTATTTGGATTAGTGATCCCTGGGTAATCACACCAATGCTCTACCAAATCAGCTACGATTCCAAGTTGGTAATATCTATTGCAATCCACGTTTTGTGTAGTTATTAGGTTGTAACACCACTTGAGATAGTCAAATTATTGTTATACCAAGAAAATAGATTATGATCATCTGAAAATATTGTATGGATGAATTCTCATTGGCAGAGCTTTTCAGACAAAGGTGAACATTAAGAGATCTGCTTTGTTGAACTGTATTTCTAAAGTGAAACCTTCAGGTAAATAATAACATCAGAAATCCAGTTGACAATTTTTAGCATATGACAATTACCTTATCCATTAAATATTAGGAGGGTCTTAGTTTTCACGAAGTCGTTTGACAGTGCGTCAAAAATGTAGATATATGAACGGGCTTTCTGTCAGATATTTCAAAATTTAACGAAATGAATATGTTTATAACTATTATTTCCTAGAAAGAAAGATTCATTTTCATACAAGATTCCAAAAACTTGATAAATTTTATTGGGGAATATGTAAGTCAGAAATACTGCCCTATCCTACAACTCCTACCCAATTATAAACAAGCACATACTCTCCCTTTCTCACCAGTGCAAAGTGAATTTGAAACCAAATTACACTAACAAATCAAATCTTTGTACCCATGGCGTGTGATTATTGAATTAGTGTTTTATGCTTCTATATCATTATTAGTGTTAAGAGTAATATCTGTACAAAAAAAGCATAGTTAACAACACGGGCATTATCAACATTTTTTTATCATCCATCCTGGTGAAGCAATATTCTCTCAACTTATTTCCAAACTTTCATACCACGTGCAGATGTCAGACAATTTATGTCATTTTGTTATAC